AAAAAAAAAAAAAAAAATGGGTTAATCACTGCTTTTAATTATCATAACCATTGTTCTCTCTACTTCTGGTTTATGATCCATTTAAGTTATTTTTGTGTGTTGATGTGAGATAGGAGTCAGACTTCATTCTTTCCAGTTGTCCCAACACCATCTGTTAAAGAAAAAACGATTCTGGCGGCACCTGTAGCTCAGTGGGTAGGGCACAGGCCCCATATACCAAGGGTGGCAAGTTCAAATCCAGCCCCGGCCAAACTGCAACAAAAAATAACCAGGTGATGTGACAGGTGCCTATAGTCCAGCTACTTGGGAGGCTGAGGCAAGAGAATCACCTAAGCCCAGGAGTTGGAGGTTGCTGTGAGCTGTGTCTTATGGTACTCTATAGAGGGCGATAAAGTGAGGCTGTCTCTTAAAAAAAAAAACAAAAAAAAAACTATTCTTTCCCCCATTTAATTGTCTTGGTATCATTGTCGAATATCAATTGATCACAGATGTATGTATGAGTTTATTTGTAGACTCTCAGTTCTATTCCATTGATGTATTATATATGTCTTTCCTTACGCTCTTACCACATTGTCTTGATTACTGCAGATTTGTGGTGAGATACTGAGTTTTTAAACTAATTAGAATAATTTTACATAAACGACTTAACCATTTGTATCTGATTATATAGCATGAAATAATTATAAATATGTCATTAAATATGCCATATTAACTTTCAGTAAGTTTTATTTGGTCATAACAGTAAGCCATATCCATGTAAGTTCATAGATTTCATAGATCCTTGCTATATAGTTTGGGTTTTTACTTATGCAGCATTTAAAAACAATTAGAAAACTATTGATTGTTATTCACCTGCCATTACCTTTTAATTGGCTTTTAAGGGATCTTGCGATATTATCTTTTTGCAGCTATTTACCTTTTGAATACTCTCTCTACAAAAGAAAATAACTTGAATTGTTCTTTTCTTTATAATTTTCAGATTTTGTATGCTGAAACTTCTCAACCAGAAGAAAGGGCCATCACAGTGTCCTTTGTGTAAGAATGATATAACCAAAAGGTATATAATTTGGATAATGATGGGAGGTTGGAAGCAACAGCAGCAGGAAAAAGTAGAAATGCTTTAATAATATAGCTGGTATTCCTATAAAACCATTCATCAACAGAAACATGTGTAAAAGTGTCTTGAGCAGAGGAAATCATTTCTAAACTATTTTCTTTTTTTTTTTTCCTAAACAATTTTCCTAAACATTTTGTGGGACATCTGCCATATACAAGAATTAGCAACATATTGCCTTTTTCTGTAGTCTTACCTAATGAAGGATTTCGTCATCCTGCCCCATTGCTAATCTTGCTTTTTTTTTTTCATCCAAAATCTTTTTAATAAAACAGTAGGTTCCAGTGTTAGTTTTTGTAGCCTCAGCTGGCCCATTGTCCTCTGGCATGCTCAAACTTCCGGCCCTTGGAATGGACATAGGGTTTGGTATGGCTGTGTGGGGTTCCTGGGGCCTTGCCGAAATGCCGGTACATCTCCCGGCCCTTGTGAGGACCAGAAAGCAGGATGGTGCCCTCAGCCTTGAGGATACAGGTGCAGGCCTGCTGCTCAGGCGCAGAGCACACACCTTCAGTTTGGGCACTTCCTGAACCTGCACATCATCTGTTATGGTCCCAACAGCCATAGCCGTTTTGTTCTCCCGGCCAGGAAGTTTCATCTTCCGGATCATCTGGGAAAGAGACAGTGGCGGCCAATTGGTGTGACTCATAAACTACCTCTTTAGCACAACCTGGTTGAAGGTAGAGTTGGTTCATCTGGCCAGAAACCTGTACAGCTTGACCAACAGCCTTAGGTAAATGTCCTGGCTCTTAGACTCCTTGTGACAAACCTTTCGGTCCTTGTTGTGGTGAATATCAACTCCCATGATGGCAACACCCTCTCGGCCGGGTCTGGAAAGATGCTAATCTTTGTTTGGTTTTTTTTTTTTGTAATTTTTGGCTGGGCCTGGGTTTGAACCCGCCACCTCTGGCAAAGTGGGCCGGCGTCCTACTCCTTTGAGCCACAGGCAAACATGCTAATCTTGCTTTTATTTTTCTTCATTGCATTTATTTACAAACATTTATTTATATATTTTGCTTCTCTTCTGCCACAATATATGTTCTACTAGAGTAGTGACTTTGTCTCAATCAGTATTGTCTTTTTAATATTTGGTACATAGTAGGTACTCAGGAATGAGTGAATTATATTTTCCTTCCACTTTTCCAAACCCAAATCTCTCATTGAACATTGTTATCTTTCTGTGTTTTCAAAATGATACCATTATCATTTGACAGAAACCCCTGAGAAATGAAGCTAGTTGTGAGGAATTGGCAAGGGTTCGGATGTTAAAGAGTAGTGAGTTCACTATATAGCGAATTTATATTTACTTTGGATTCAGGGTAAGATTATAACAGATAGTTTTGGGCTCTTGGTAGATTTAAATGAGTGACAAATTACAAAATTAATCAATACCATCACACAGTTCATTCTGATATCAGTGATAGTATAATATCACTGATTGCTCTATTCTTGGAACAAAGGTTTTTTAGTATTGCCGCATTTTGTTTTATTTGTCTACATGTCTTTCATTATTTTGGTGTCTTTAAAAAGTTGATAATCACTTGCTGAGTATGTCCCTCAAACTTTAATTTCAGAAGCCTACAAGAAAGTACAAGATTTAGTCAACTTGTTGAAGAGCTATTGAAAATCATTCATGCTTTTGAGCTTGACACAGGATTACAGTGTAAGTGTTGAATAGCCCCAGAAGCCAATGCTCAAGTAGCTGTCCATAAAAACTCAGGAAGTTTGTATGGTTATTTTGTATGACTAGCTAATAAGACCTTTTGGTTTAGGTTAATTTTTGCTCTGTATCTGTAATCTGTCTTTTTTTTTTTTTTTTTTTTTT